ATAAAATGATAAGGCTATCACATTTTCAGATAGAATCTGATTACTAATTAATTTACAAGTGTATAATCAACTTGAATTCATGTATTTTTGAAAATAACTCCTTTTGAGAATTAAAATAATAATTTCTGGTCCATACAGCCAAAATAATAACTGTTATGATTATTATACATGCTCGCCCGCCTCAAATAGTCAGTAACATTAATTAAAAAGTCTTGATGCTCAGATAATGATTTTTTATAATGATGATGGAGAATATATTTAGCACCATTATTTATTGCCCATCCCTTCATTAATAAAAATTTATCAGTTAACCTTTATAGCTTCAAAATTAATTTGATAAAATGATTGATTTTACAAAGCTATATATCTACATTATTGATTTATTCATTTAAAATGTTTATTCCATTTTAGTTGTTCACACTTATCACATATACCATTTCATTATATGGTTTTTTTTCACATTGGTTACAGTAAACTGCTAAATGCTCTTTGCCCAAAACCAAGCTGCTTAAGCTTCTGATGCACTTTCAAACTCTTGCTAAGTCTTTTCCTAGAAAAAGATTCGTTGAAAAATTGCGAAAATTGTTGATGAAGATAAAGAAAAATATCCATTGGTATAAAAGGTGCTTGAAGATGTGTAATAATAAAATCACGTGATTATCTCGTAATTATAAAATTGAGGATAATAATAATAGTAGTATATAGTATATAGTAATAGTAATAATTAATACAGTGCAGATCACTCAAAAGTTAATATATATATTAAAAAATTTTGAAATATCATGTGATCCGCATGTTGAATTTTAAAAAAACCACCACCATTCATTAAATTCATTAAAAAGAAAGGTAAAAAAAAACTTCTCAATTTTTTTTCAAATTTGAGAGTTTATGCTCAAAATGCAATAATAACAATATTGATGTAACATGTTTTGATGATCAACAGCCACAGAACACTACAACAAAATTAACAAATTATGGAACAAGGAAATGTTCATTCTGTTCTTTTCGAAAAATCAGATATGTACAACTATAATACACCAGAAAAGTTACAGTTTTACACAACCAACC